GATTTGGGTGTCGGGGCGGTGTAGAGACACATGGGGCTTGGGCCTTTTCGAAACATGCCGGCAAGTCGACTTACCGACTTACCTGTTTTGCGGGTTGTAACACATTTATCTAAGTTGCCTTTGCGACATGTCCTTCTTACCTATAGTCGACGGACACAAGTTCCGGTCGACCGGCTTGACTAGACACATCCGTCAGTTCAAAAGCTGCATATATACGCTTGCGCATGCTCGAAAGACACTCTGGTATTCTACATGTAAATGTGTACACACACACATATATATATATATATATATAGCGTGTACATACATAAGTATATCTACACATGTGTATGTATGTATGTATGTATGTATGTATGTATGTATGTATGCATACATGTAATGTTTTACACTCATTATCCATATGTATACATGTATACACATATGTTAGGTGTATATGTGGGTATACAATGTATACAATTTATATATGTATTCATGTATATATATATATGATATATATGCATGGCATGCCTTTACTTTTATCATCGTGTTCGTTTTTCGAGAATAAGCCAGCTCACTGCCCGTTTTCAGCGTTTGCAGCCCGCGGTGACTTGTTCCTCGCTCCAGTCTCTCGCTTCTAGCGTCTTGAGCTGGTTGACTGAATTTTGGTAACGTACGCATGTCTTCTGCAGGGCGCCGTGTGTGTTGAAGGCCTTTTCTTCCTTAGGCGCTAGGCCCGGAGGCACTGTGGAGCTTTTTCACTACGGCGCTTAAAGCGCACCGGCTATCCATGCTCTGCCAGACTGGCATATAGGAGGATAGTCTAGCGACCTGGCGTGAAGACGTCATAGCGGAGGCAATGGCCAGTCCATGCCACTGTAACTTCCTCATATTTCCTCATCTTTCAACACGGGCATGCCCCGTACAGAATGCTAGCTATGCTCCGAGTTCGCTCCTGTATCCGAAAGATCTTCAGGATGTAGGACCAGGTCTCCGTGATTAAACCCTAGACCCAAAAAACCATCGGATGGTGCTATCGCCGGCCGAACGGCAAGAGAACCCAACGGTTGAACTGTTATGGTAGGAGCAAGAAATTGGAGGTCGGGGGGTCTGCAAAATGCACTGCAAAGCAGGCATCCCAGCAGGCATCCTATACAGTAAGGTTTAGAGTGGGATTGGGATCTGCTATTTCGAAAGCACTCAACAATGCAATGCTTGCTTCTGCTTGTGTTGGGAGTTGCCGAAGGAAGCTCCCAACGAGGATCTCGACGCCAGTGCTCGCTGTTTTGCTGTGAAGGTTTTGCAGTCGAGGGCTTTCGATGCAGGGATCTGAGGGATTTCGGCCCACATCTTCGAGAAGCTCCTGGCTTTGGCCCCTATGGGAGCCCCCCCCCCTCGAACACCTTTTTGGGGGCCTGTAATGAATGAGTGTAATGCAGTGCGGAATGCTAGAAACCAAATTCAAATGTCCCAGAGATGAGCCCGTCGCACTTGGAACCCTCGGCCGCAGACATTTGAGTCCATCTGCAGCATAGCAGGCCGCTGCCAGCAGCAATACTTCTGGCCTGCTATCGTGAGTCTTGCGGTTTGGGGCTAGCCGAGGGCCTATACAGCAGAGTCCATATCCTGAGCCCGAAACTGCCCTTAACTTTATTGATGTCTTGTTCTGCAAGTTCTCGGCGCATCAGGCTCGCGCAATGCAGAGGTGGACTCTTTTTGCCACAGACACCCATGACTTGATGCACGAAAAACAATGCGGGTTTGTTGGCTCAGTCGTGGGTCGGGCCAGTTTCCGGATGATGACAAAATCTTGCAAAGGGTTCGGCAAAGTCGTTAGTGAGACACTGAAAGCTTCTAGCTCAGTGTGAATGAAATCTGAAGGGAGCTCTAGCAGGCAATGACCATGTTCGAATATGTCCGAATCATGGAGCTCATTATTCGGGGATCAGGGGTTAGCAGCTGCTACGGAACTGTTCGACAGCGGGAACAGTACTCAGTCCAAACCTCAGACTTCACGCGAGCCCCTTCTACGTGGGTCAAATCCAAGAGTACCCTCCACGCTCTAGCCCCCTCCATCCCCGTCCCAGCTCCGCTTTGTTTTGTGCTATCAGCCGGGCTCGTATGTTATCTGGGGTTGTTGGTCTAAATTGTGTCGGGTCCGCCATGGGGCGAGTTCCTGTCCAAGTCGGCACCACAAAGCAGTCGACCGGCAGCCGAAAGTACATGAGCGAGGATCTCCCACACCTTATGCTCTGCTGCAGCTTCCCCAAAACCATTGCCAACATACTTCCCAATTGAAACACGGTTTGAGCTTGGGGGTGAGAGCCGCAGGGGTGCTTACCGTGCCCGAATGGCGAGGTGTAGGTTGAGCGAGCGGGTGTTTGCTTGTTTTCATTCTTGGACCTCGTGAACCCAGTATTTCCGTCGGTGCAGCCTGAAGACTGCCAGAGTTTGCATGTGCTCCAGTCTCTGCTGCAGCTTCTCGGCTTCAAGAACAACACACAGTCACAGAGTGCAGAGATTCGTGGAGCAAGTGCGACTGGCAGCAATGTGAAGCTGCCAGGTTCAGTGTCGATGGCCGCAAGCCCGCACGCTAAACCGACTAATCAGCTCCGGCTGGCAGGCCCCACGAAAATAGAACTCGTAAACATCTCGCAAATCAAGCTTTGTAAAGCCTCGGGAGATTCGCGGCATGGGCAAGAAACCGCAGCATGGCTGCAAGCAGAATGTCCGTTCTGACGGCACAAACAAGCCGTTAGCTCAAGAATACACATCACGTCGTCACGACAGCAGTCTCGGCAACGTAATCGTAGTCGTAACACTCGTCGTCAGAATTGTAATCCTTGTCACGCTCACCTTCAGCTCGTCAACCCCTGGTCAAACAGCTGTAGGCTGGCTCAATCAAAGCCTTAATCCCCAAACTCACAGAAGGATTGCGCAGCCCAGGAAGGAGAAGCCGGCCAAGGCCAAGGCCAAGGCAGAGGCCGATCCGGATCCTGCGGCCCAACCCGATCCCTGGATCTGTGAGGAGTGTGGGCAGGCCGGCATTGCGGGGGCTTAGGGCTTGGCGGCGTAAGGCTTAGAGAGGATTTTGAGTTAAGGGTTCCTTGTCTTCAGGGCTCGACTGCTTTATCTTCATGGGCTCGGCCTTCTGTGTAGGGCCTACTGCTGAACAGGTGTAGAGCTCTGTCGAAGCCCATATCAGCTGCGCGGAAAACACGTGTGCATATATCTGCTTACACATGCACCTACACATACACATGCATGCAAAACATGTGCGTATGCACATGCATGCACACACACACACAGAGAGTAGTTTGTATATGCATATATACATACACAGTCACATATGCATAGACATACACGTGCATGCATATAATTACCTGTTCCTGCAGGTATATTCACACATATCACATGCATGCGTGCATGCATGTGTACATGTATCGTGTATCCATGCCATCCATGCATCTATCCATGCCTGCATGCCTGCATACATACATGCATGCATGCATGCATACATACATACGTACATACATACATACATACATACTTGTATATATACATATATACACGCATGTGTTTATGCATACGTCCACACACAAAGAATAGAAAGTCTATATGTACGTAAAATACTAAAATAGATAGGTAGATAGATGTGCGTATATGTATGTACGCGTCAAGCTCGTATGTACATGTGCATGGTTTTGCGTACATACGGGGCGATGGCTTTTGAAGCAGAAGGTTTGCATCCGTTGGCCCTCGAACACTTGTCTCTTGACCCTCAAGCCCCAAGCTTAACTCTGGAGCCTTTATTAGGGTTTCTGATGACTAGCTTGCCTTTCAAGATCTTGATACGCCCGAAAACAGCAACGGAGGGTTGCCTCATCCCGACCTCGTTTCTGAGTTTTATGGGATTTGGGCTTTGGAGATCGGCTGAAGCAGACGTTTGAGGGTTGGTGTTGGGTTCTGGGTAGCAGCAGCTGCCGCTCAGGATTTGTGTGTGCTTTGCTGTTCAAAAAGTGTAGAAAATGAGCTCTCATGCCACGAAAGCCATTATGCAACTGCTTGGCAGAGCTTGTTCAGACAGAGGTAAACGAGTTGTCAAGACTAAGTCCCTTCTGCGAGTGGTGGGATCCCTGATCCTTTGACACCGAGTGGAAACAACAGGAGAACCCGGCCGAAGAAACGATCTGCGTGGCTTGTGGGGTGTCTAAGCTTCCCTTGGCCACACCTTTTTTGCTGATTGAGTTTCACAAAAGTTTAGGTTGTGAGCCTGTGGTATTTGGACGTATTCGGTGGAAATAGGTCCGGTGTGGCTTTACTGTGCTCGGTGTTGTGGGCCCGGTGTTTTTCAAATTAAGTGTGGCAGGCTTTTTGTCCTCCCAGGCGCGGCGGCGACGGTTTGGTCTAGGTCGATCATTCTGTTTTTTCATGTTAGCGTTGACTGTTACTAGTCATGAGCATGACGTTGTTGTTGATGATGTTGATGTTGATGCTGATGATAATTGTGATCATTACTATTATTACGGTGTGCATTTCTGCTTTGGTTACTACTGCTTGTATAGTTGAAATGCGTACTATTCGAATTAGAACCATGGATCATGCTTAGCATTCCCTGTCTTATTGATCGTGTCATGACTTGGTGTAAGTTTGGTCAGTTTATCTGCTTTGATGGCTTTGAGCTTGTTGCGATTACCTCTCGCGGTGTGACCTGTCGCTGTCAATGTCACCTCTGCTGCTGCGATTTTGCCATTGCAAGTGTGTTTTTTGGTCAGTATTTTCACGACTTCCTGTCATGCTCGTGCGTTTCTCTGCTACATTCTCTTTACGATTCGATAGAGATTGCCGGGTGTATTCTTGACGCTTTTCGGGAATCTTGTTCCAATCACGTATTTTAGCCCACCCCTGTTCAAGGCTTCGTTTGCAAGATAGCGATCAGCTTTGATCATATGAGCTTTGGGCCGTGGAGAATCTGTGTGCCGAGATTCCGAGATCTGGAGGAACAGCGCCTGCCTGGCTGATTTCTGCGCTTGAATCCATTCTGGGAGCATGGTGATTGCTAGTAACTAGTACACTTCATTCGCACCCCCTTGATGCATGTAACTGAAGTTGTCAAACTCGGTGCCCCCAGTTCCTCAGGCGCGAGATGGAATGCAGGTCCTAAAACTGCAACCACGGCCCTATCATGTTTTTTAATCGCATTCCAGACCTGGTGCAAGTCTGGACGCCTTCAGCAGAAACCGGCCCTTGACCAATACTGACCGAATAGCATATTGTTCCAAGGACCATAAAGAACCCTGTGCAAAGCCTACAAACCTTTACAACTCCTTGTTACACCCTATCTTTCTTCGTCTCAAAGGCACCAAAGCCTGCAGTGATCGACCCGAGATTCGATGGTTATGTGGTGGGCTTGGTCCAGAGCCGAGCCTGCAAGCAAATCGTATTCAGGATCATTCAAGAAAGCAAGTTTTCGAACGGGTGGGAGATTGGAGGGGTAGTAGCCGTCACAGTCACAGTAGTGGCAGGCAGCAAGGGCTCCATCACTTTTCCTCAGTACCTAGATGGACGTGATGGACGTTTAGGATTGAGGCAATCGCTCGCTTGCGTCTAGAACTGTTGGCATTAAGCATCTGTCAGGATAAGACCAGCTTGTGGAGCGCGTCGGTTGCTTTGGTCATATGGAAAACTTGGGGTTTTGCGAGAGCGGCGAACATATCAGGATAGTTTGGCGCACCCATCGCAGCTCCCCAATGGGTGCATTCGGCTAGATGATGCCCTCACCAGCAAGATGCTGGCCCCACAGAGTTGAACGAAGGATGTAGCCTTCGCAGCATTTCATCGCCCAGCGAAACCCAGGTGCATGCCTCATACTTCATGCTGCCGTTAATCTCTGAAGTTTTACATTCCTACGGGACACAGGCAGTTCATCAGTGTGAACGTGAAGACTGAGTTGGGGCGTCTGACATCGCCGATGCACATCTGGACCGGTTATGGCACCAGCATGCTGGCACAGTTTCTTCGGCCGACACTCCTCTACGGGACCGCTCCACACCAGGCACCACGCAAGTGTCGATCGAGTGCACGGGATCCGGTCGATTCCTGACTAGGGCCGAAAGACTAAACGTCCAATCAGTGTCAGCCTCCACCCAAGATCCACGCCCTCAGTGCTGTACCGTTCGAAGCTCATGCGCTCAGCTTGTGATTTCCGGTCGAGGTGATATGAGGTTCCGAGGATCCAGGGAGGCCCGGCGGAGAATGCCTAAACCCGCGAGTTTCGCAGGGCAGGCCCCTTTGTGAAGCACAGTGCCGGTAGATAAGGACTTGGCTATATGCTGCTACTTACACGAGGGGTCTCCTATGTCCTGAGCCCAGCCATGGGGCCTGTGATGGAGCCGAAGTTAGGTTTAAGGTTTAGCGAACGTCAGGCTCACCAGCATCAGTCATTATGGAGGCGCATGGTATGGCAAACGCGGAGCACGTGTGCGAGGCGGATTGAAACTACCGCAGAGACAATCGGGAGCTGGGCCTGTACATGTCTCCGTGGGTATCCGTGGGTTCACAGGGAGACAAGCCAAGGCATGAAACTGAACATTGAAAACGAACCCGCGTACTGTACACAAGGGCTGTGAACAGCGGCTTACTTGATAGTGTTCTGCAAGTTGCAGCTGACAAGTGGCATCCTGCATCAGAGCAGCGGGCATCATTGTCTGTGGCCATAAGCGATGGGCCCAGGGTGAATCAGGCCAAAAGAGGCCATCAAGAAACAAGTAATCATTCAGTGTGCAGGCGATGTGGTCGGTGTGAGGTCATATCCGGACACACAGAGAAATCGCACTGGCCGCCCCAAGAATCGAGCAACCCAACAAGAAACCACATGAAGGGAGCCTCCATAAACGACAGCCTTGCATGCTGTTTGGAGTCGAAAGGATTCTGTCCAGCCCCCCCCCGCACGGCGGCAGCAGATAGCTGAAGTTTCAGTTTCGAAGAGATAACATAGGCAGTTTTTGAAGTTGAAGTGACACAGCCACACGCATCGCGAGCCACGCCATAGCGATGAGAGCCCGGCAATACTCCCAAAAGCATGGGCATTGCCTGGAGGAGCGGAAACGATTGGCAACCGACATCCCCGGGGTACAAGACCAGCATGTTTAAAGGAAGAAGTTTCCGAAGCCTCGGTCAAAGGCTTTCGTAGGCTGTGCTAAAAATTATCTCTGAGGACCTGCGAGCCAGTTCCCGGCAAGGCTTCTTGGTCGAACTGAGGTTCCCTTAAAGGTAGCTTGAAACTGTGTTCTGCACACGTTTGCATGGTTATTTTTGGGCTGACGTTTGGTCCATCGGATGTTAAGATTTTTAGCTTTGCCTCTTGGACGTAAACGGCTTGAAGGCTTGAGCTGTTTGACTTGTTCTGCTACTACTACCCCGAACCAGTTGCCGTCAACTACTGCTGAAGCCGAAAGCCTGCCAGCATCCCCTGCGCTTGCTTCACTGGAACCACAAGGTGGTGGGCTCCCGAGGCCCCAGATCCGAGTTCTAAGCGCGAAAGCCTTGATGGTGCACTCTAGACCTTTCCTGAAGTCGCCGTTTTGCAGGTCGGACACTCCCACTAAATGACAGTCATGAAAGCAACATTACGTAATAGCAGCTGGGATAAAACCTGAGGACAAGCTAAAGAAGCTGGAAGTGGATGTCGGGGAGTCAGCTCCGCTGAGAATTGTTACGAACGCTTCGAACGTGAAGGACATGTTGGGCAGCTTCGCCGCTTCCTGATCGAGATTGTTGTCTGTAGATGTGGAAGTAAGGTCCTCGGCCGTGAAAGTCAGATCGTGGCCACTTTGGCTCGAGACAATCGCTGACTGACAAGCCCAACTCTTTTTACAGTTCAAGGCTCTTTTGGCAGGCATGTCTCGGCCAAACCGTCGTGCCGCCCGTTTGTCTGCACATCTCGTCCCTCAACTTTGCAAAGATGCATTCGGGGCCTGTGGATGCAACTCGCCGCGGCAAAGTCAGGGAAGCTTGGTTCCTCGCATTTGCCGCAATGACCCGACCACAGGCTACAGCTGGAGAGATGTTCACGATGATCTTGAGGCGGGCGTGTATGCAGGATGCTATGGTTGGGACCATGCCGCCTACTGGGGCATCTCTGAGGCCAAGGCAGGCGTCGACTTGAAGGAATGGTACAAGACTCGGACAGAGGCCGAGTTCTACCTGCCGGAGTTCAAGGAGCTGATTGACGACCCAGCGACTCACCGGGATTGGGATCGCATCTCTACCTTTGACCCCTTGGGCATGACAGCACATCCTCCCACCATTGCAGCTTGCAAGGCCAAGCTGGATATTCCAGAGCTCAAAGACTTGCGCATCGATGGCCAAATCGTTCTGCCCTCGAACGAGATTGTCACATCAAAGTGTGCCATCAGCTATGCCTGGAACATTCCTCTCATGGCAGAGAGGGTAGGCCTCAGTGAGCAAGAGCTACGGGAAGCCCTGCACAAGTTCTCCCATGACAGCCGGCTGCTGGACCCCAACGTGAAGACCTATCTTCCGGCTGTCGGTGGGCTCACAATCTACACTTTCGGTGATGCAAGGAAGCTCAAGGATGAAAAAACGGAGGTGTGCGTTCGCGTGCACGATGAGTGCATAGGGTCGGATGTCTTCGGAAGCGACATCTGCAGCTGCCGGCCCTACCTCATCTTCGCACTGCGCGAGGCTGTCGAGTGTGCCCAGCGGGGTGGGGTTGGCGTCGTGATATACTTCAGGAAGGAGGGTCGCAGCCTTGGTGAGGTGATCAAGTTCAGGGTGTACAATGCCCGTGTGAATCAAGACGGTGGGGATCGCCCCGAGATGTACTTCCACCACACAGAAGCCATTGCCGGCATCCGAGATGCACGTTTCCAGACCATGATGCCGGACGCCCTGAATTGGATGGGAATCCGACGCATCGATCTTCTGTGCTCTATGAGCAATGAGAAGTATGAGGCAATCACTGGAGCTGGCATCCAGGTGGTGAAGCGTGTGGACCTTCCTGATACCTACATCAAGGACAGCATGAAGGTCGAGCTTGATGCCAAGATTGCGAGTGGATATCACTCTGACAGAGTGGAGCAAGAGCAGATGCTACACACGTCGGTCGGTAGCCCGCGATAGGGTCAGCAGTACAGAATTGCGCTGTCCGTGGGCTTTAATTACCCATTTTGCCTGCATGTTCACGTTGCAGACGTGAGACTCTGAGAGCAAGGGCTCCTCACATTTGATACAATGAACCGTGCTCAAACCTTGCTGTTGCCTTGTCCGGAGTGTGATCACCTGGTACCACTCCCTGACCATCAAACCATTTTCATCCGATCACCCCTTACTGTACATGATCCGAGTCTGAGTGCCAAGTTCGCAGGACGGCTCGAGAGTCGTCGTGGCGAAAGTTGGCGCCATCGTGAATGACGAACCCCTGGCCCTGCGGCTGTTTGAAGTTGAGTTTGGGCTTGGAGTTCGTGAGCAGTCTTTCTTCTATCCCGTGTTTGAAGCCCCGAGATGTGCTCTGCGGTCCAGGATTTAGCAGCCCTAAGCCCTCAACCCAAAACTAAACCTTGAGTCAATGCAGACCTTGCCGCGTTTTTCTGAGTGTGGTCGTGTGATGACGCCCCATCTGAAAACATCCGACATGGAAGAAGGCGGAGGAAGTGGTAGCGAAAAGTGCCTGCTTCCCAAGCCCGGCCCAAACCCAGGCCAAAACGACAGTGGGAGGGTGCCCGTCGGAAGGCATGCTGTGTGCAGCGTGGCCCTACTGAGGGTTTCTCTTTCTTGGGGCTTCAGGTTTTTGGGAGCTCCAGATCTTTCAGATTTGAAGTGTGCATGGGGCTCAGCAGTCAGGACAATTGGGTGTCCAATGTTGAGGCGCAAAAGCTCGAAATCCGGTCGGATTCTGCCCGCTCCAGCCTATGAGTCAAGCAAGACCTTCGTGGTTTACGCACTTTGTGACGCAGGAATGCATGAACAACTTATGGTCCAACAGCTCTCCGTGCGAGGAACATGCTTCTGCTTGATATCTCGGAGCAAGTGCAGATTTTGCTTTTGAGATGTTAGGTGCACTGGACATATCATACCAGGATTGAGAGTAAGTTCCGTTTCTTGAAGGACGCGGATCCTCAGACCTGGTGCCACGACGCCCAAGTTAAGGATTCCACAATGCTGGGCTGGTCGGGTGGCGGCGCGCGTGCAGCGGCACTGTTGCCGGACACATGGCTGTGGTTATTTTAATTTAAGGTAGATACAGCCACCATAACGAGCTCGGAATTTGTCATTCTTCGGCTGGGTTTCTAGTCTGGGTTTTCCTGCGCATCCGCGGGTTGACAGGTTTAACGGCGTATTTCTTAGCTGGTTGAAGATTTCTGGGCACCAGGGCTTGGATCGAGCTGCTAGCCGAAAGGCACACATTTCCGTTAGTGACCCGTAGGCTCACTGAAAACCATGAGACCCTCCACTGAAGTTAATCGTCAAAACCGAGCAGTTACCAGCTGGGAAATGCTTCAGCTGAGCTTTGGCTTGAGCTGTTTTTGATTCCCAAAGTCAAAGCCTGACAACCTCAACCGAAACCCGCAACCCTGCCTCGCAACCTGAGAGTTCACATCTCGGGTTCGCAGATCCCTGGGCAGCGAACCAGGGCCGAATCCGCTTTGCAGGATACTGTAGCGTATTCTTGTTACTTGGTCATGCTTACGACCTTTTTTGTGAATGTTCTCCGAATCTATCTAAATGACAATGCGACAGTCGACGAGGAGCGTCCAGCGCAGAGTCTCCATCAGTGCCTGAAAGGCCTCGAATTCAAGAACTGGGCTGCATCATGTACCCTGAAGCTTAAACCGTGCTGAAACCCTAAACCCCTAAGCCCTAAACCGTACATGCGAGTCTTTGAGTCGATACCCTAATTAAACCGTTCTCTAGCCTTGCCTGCCGGGTGAGAGTGTGAGAGTCGAACCCGTTCTCTCCTGACTCTTGGGGCCGCTTCGGCAAGCGCTCTTAGGACAGCTTTCTGGTGGGAGGGCCTCCGCCAGATGCGCGACCCCGGACAGACGGCAAGTGAGCACAGGGCATGAAAAGGCAAAATCTTATTGACCGCAATGAAGAGCTAGTAAACCCTACCTAATTATAGTGTGAGTCGAAGTCTAGAAGAGCCCTTGTAGCTGGGTGTGGCATTGAAGGCCTTTGCTGAAGCCGGTGAGCTTGAACTGGTGTATGGCTGAAGGAGGGCCAGCGATCCGGTTTGGTTCAGGGCCATGTAATTATGCTTGAATGCACACCCTGGGCAGTAGCTAATGTCGAGCGGTTTGCTACTAGTAGCGAGCCAAGAGCTTGTGCCAGCTGTAGCGGAAACGCTGACTTTGCTAGTTAAGTGCCCACTGGTTCACTGGTTTGAGTCCTTCATGAACAGTAGCAAGCTGCGGTACCCGCGGCAGGTGGAAAAAGCAGATCGCGTTGTCGAAAAGTGGTAGTTGCGATATGTCGTAGCTAGGGTTTCTGCATAGCACTAGGCAGCCAGCAAGTGATACGACGAGCAAATTACGATAATGTTTGTTGAACGTCTTTCGAGAAGCGACACTGGCGTATCAGCACGGAAGAACCCGCCGAGCTGCCGGAAACAAACTACGGCACACAAAAAACACCGATCCGTATGAGGCTTGTCAGGGTAGATGCAGCACTCGTATTCGAAGCCTGTCAAAGCGAGATCCAGAGCTCAGGCAGGGGCGCTGCAGTTGTTGCAACTATAGTCCATAGTGTATAGTGTTGGTGAGGACGGAGCGTCTCGGGATTCCGCGACCTCGAGACCTCAATTACTTGCACGGCGGTGTCTCGACTGTTTCCTTGATTGAAATTTAACAGCACGCTTACTTTCGAAGTTTATCTCGGTTGCCACGAGTTCTGTTTCTGTCTAGGTAAATAGCTTCTTCGTTCTGCAGCAGAAGGTGCGAGTTTTAGTCTCATATAGACTCACACAGATCTTAAAGAAGCAAACGAGCCGATAACGACAACCGGTGTCTGACAAGTACTCGATGGCTTCACTGTTCGTAGGCTTTGCAGGGCTCCACGCTCGTTCAGCCCGACTGCTTTGCAAGGATCATGACGGCCAGGCAAGTAAACTCGCAGAAGCCAGCAAACACTAGTGACGACCGCCAGTGAGGTCTGTGCACTAGCGTTTTTCGAGCTTGCTGGTATGATTTTTAGGTCTGCTTCAGTAGCCAGTGCAAGACCCACGCGCGGACACAGGCAGTGTATGTACGGCATTGCACTGACTAGCGGCGCGAGAGGGCTCAAATCCTGAATCCAAACCCCTGTAGATCTTTAGCAGGCCGTGGATTGGCTCAGACTGGGAAGGTACGATGAACTTCCTGAAGCTGGAGCCAATTGACTTACGGCGTTGCAGATCTAGTTCAGTGAGGAGTTTTTTGAAGAAGAACTTTACAGTCAAGCACCAGAAGAGGCAGCCCGTTGTGTGATCGAGGATGCGTCAGGTCCGGCCTTGCGGAGCCTTCTTTCGAACCTTTATGCTGCTACCGATGCAAACCCTGAACTCGAGACCCGAAGCTTTCAACGTTAGACCACCTCGCCCCATGCACCCGCCATGGCGGCCAAAGAGGAGGTGGCCGACCGTGTTCCGGCCATCCTTTCACATGTCGAGTCGGCGCCCTGCCTGCCTGTCATGGGGTGGGCAAAACATAACCAAAGCAAAGGTGATGATAAAGAAAATGGTAGATGATGGTAACAATGTTGACAAACATCACGGACGCATGCACGTCGGGGATGCGAGACTCTGACTCACCGAATGACTGCCTGAGTCTACAACATGAAGAAGGATGGTGGGATCGAAGGGTATCTTGCATGGCAAAATGGGCGCAAAGCCCTGAAGCATGAATCATCATGAATCCCAGCAGCAAGCTCTTAGTCATGCACTGGCAATTCGTCACAAGTTGTTCCTGGTTGTCAGCCTTTTGCAGCCGTACCCATTAGGACGTATGGTGTCCCGAGCGAGGTCATTCGAACTCGAATCTTTGAGAGTTTGCCAGCCTCAAACTTAGAAGTTAGAACGGTTCAAACTTTGAACGATCGAAAAGTTTGAAAGGCGTCGGTGACGTGGTCGTGGTGGTGGTGGTGGTGGTGGTAGCGATGGCGGTCCCGACGATGATGCTCAGGGCCTGGCGTTGATGGCGGAGGTGGTGGCGTTGTTCAGTTGTTCAGTCCAGACATAATGCTGAGACTGATTTCTGCTGATCAGTGCTTGGATCGCCGCAAAGGATCTCGTTTCGCTGGCCATTTGTGGCTACATTGGCGGCCGCTGCATGCACTTGAAATATCCGGGTCCCGTGTTTCCCAGAGCCCCGGCTGCATTCATAGGAATCTCCCCAAGACCACCTGAGCCTGAGTCTTGTCTAAGGTATTAGTGATAATGCACCCTGGCCGCCGACAGCGACGGCGCGATGTGACGATGTTGTTTGGATGGCATGATGTGATGTCTGGTAAACGTGACTCATTGTAGACTACTCCAACGCATGTTTGCCTCCAACTGCGAACCGGATGCGGAGCGTTCGCTGTACGTGTGGTGCCGCGTTGACGTTGGGCTCGAAATGCGTGAACTTCCGCCAGTTTCTTTGGGGAAGCTTGTTGGCCTTGTCTCTGAATCCCGCCAATCGAACTATTGGGGTGAAGAATGAATTTTGATGCTGTCTCTGAATTCCGTCAGTACTTGTGGGCAGGCTTTTGGCCGTGCTCTTGACTTGAATACAGTCATTTTGCGCATGTCTCTGAATCCGCCACTCTAGCGGGGGCAGCTCTTCGGCCGTCGTCCTAAGCATGAGAAGGGTTCTTTCAAGGGGTTGGTAGATGGTGGCATGAAAGTGTTGTTAGAAGGGTTTCTGGTCGATGCGTGGTAGATGAATGGATGGATGCCTGGATGCATGAGATCACATTCGGTGTTACCGCACTGCTTTGAGCACTTTCGGGGTACTCAGTATATAATTTGGCATTGTCTACCCGCGCAGTTAAGTCATACCATACTACAAGGTGGTGTTCTTTTTGGTGGGTTCTTTTGACAATACCAGGAGGGCGATTAGCGAAAACTCGGTCGCTTCAAAAAGTACACACCATTTCGATCGCACACAACTGCACAAGGGCCAGCGCAAGCTATGCTCAAGGCTTGTTGTTAAGGTTGATGCAAGATACTGAGCAGCGTTGTGGATAGATGCAACCACATGACATGTTGCCTGAAGCATGGGTGGGCCGTTTTGTGGCAAACCCCGAAACAGATCTGTGTGTGCTTCGAGAAGAATGATGATTGTTTTACCTGCAGCCGAAGCTTAGCTTCGAAGCCACCAAAGGTCAACAGGCCACTGTAACAAACCCTAGTCTTCAAAAAACCTCGCGCGCGCAAGCACACCCAAGCAACGCACAAGAGCGAAGCGCAAGGGATCCTAATTGGCATGCGTGGAACTAGGATATAGAACAACCCTCAAATCCTTTCGAATCTTCCACGAAACCCTTGAACCCTGAAAGCTGTAGCCGTATCTTGGCACCCTAGGCTTCTAGGCACCAAGCTAAGCAAAGACCCGACCTCGTGACACCGCAGACTTGACAAGCGCGTAAATACCGAAAGCGACAGGGAATATGCAGAAAACCCTTGTAACCCATTGAGTGAAACCATTCTAGACCCCAAATCCTTTCTTGCTAGACTCCGTAGAACCCCTGCAGCACCTTGGGTCCCCTTTGACATGCAACATTCTCCAAAGCCTGAAAGCTCACCACAAAACTCCACAACGCCCAATTCGAAGGCACGGAGTGGGTGGCTTGGGGCCTAGCTGGCGCCATGCTCACGGCCTTCGGAGGCCTATAGCTGGTTTAGGGTGACGGATGTAGGGGGTTTGGGCCGCAGAGCCTTAGGATTGCCGTCCACCACCCCCGGCACTCTTTTGCACGCTGAAGCCTGGAGCCTGGCCCAACATGTTTCTGCTGGCCTGGAAGGCGGCAGCATGTATGTGCTGCTGATGAAGAGGCAGGCCGGCTTGAGCGGCCTGATACTCTAAACGACACAAGATGGCTCTTGCCGGTGATGATTCGATGTTGTGTCTTGCTTTCTTGCAACGCTCAGGCTTCAGGGTTCTGGGGTGTGGGTTCAGGCTATAAAGAGCCAGTGCGACCATAAAAAGTGCTGCACACTCGCATAAGCTGCATGCAGGTGATCAAACTCA